GTAGAATTATAGCCTCACAGTCCGGCTCATCCTGAGTCTGTGTGGATGAAACAGACTCTTATTTACATGAAGTCTTCCGGGGAGTTCAGAGGACGGACTCTCTTTCAGGTTCAGGGGCATTTTGCAGTGCCCCGTCATCATCATTGTCATCGTTTATCAGCTTTGTCATGACTCTTACTGCTGTGGTTCCTACTGGAAATGAGGGCTCGTGTTGACAGGCAGGTGCTTCACTCTGGGGTAATGTTGTCAGCTCCCATGAACACTTTAACCCTCCCACCCCATCCCGTGATGGGCTGCAGTCCTCACCCCGTCACAGAGGAGGCTGACGCGCTAGGACATGAAGAGCCTCGTCCATGGCCACACAGCTGGGGGCAGCAGAGTTGGGGTGCAACCCCAGGACCTTTGGACCCCAGAGGCCCGGCCTTTTAGCTCTGCATTTGCCCTTTCAGAAATGAGGGGGTGCCGTAGGACATGTCTACAGAGGTGACACAGGCTCTCAAGTGCCTTTGATTCTCTGTGGCTCGAAATGGAGCCTGACAAAAATACTGCTGGACTGAGACACCTGGACTGGAGGCACCAGAGGTCCCCGGGGCCTACTCCATCATGGAAGGTGACATGAAGCCCCTTATGTCGCGGAGGGGCCAGTTCTACAGTGCTCCATCTAACTTTGGGCAGCCTTGGTCATCTGTGACAAATCACAGATGGGAAGCAGCTGACACTTGTTTCCTCCGAAAGCAGACAGGGAGGGAGCCCCCGACCCAGGCCATGGCTGGTCACTTGATACCAGGTATAAAATGCAGGTGGCTCTCTAGTTCCCTTCCTCCCCACAGATGATCCTGAGTTTAATTATCGAGACAGTGTAGTGACTGGTGGTTTCCTTGAGAAAGGGGGCGCTTAGGAGAACCTTGAGAGGTGCTTTGCAGCATTGCTGTTACGGCGCAGTGCAAAGGCTGGCACTCATAATGGGGTGGGAGCTGGGAAGTTGGAGGGCCCGTGGTGTGCCCTCGCTCTTTCTTCTTAATGGCGCTGGGCAGATGTTGGGAGGCACCAGGGTCGCTGGCTCCAATGCAGGCAGGATGGATGTAAGAGAAGCCATTGTGGCAGCATGGTGAGGGATGCCGCCTGCCTCTCAGCCTCAGTGTGGACAGGCATTGGGACAGGTGGAGTGTGGTAGGACCTCACAAGGGGCAGCTGCTTTGTTGGACTGCTGACCCTGGGTTGCTAGCTACTCCAGTTGCTCAAGAGTAGCTATAAATCCATATTGTTTGTGATCTTTCCTGATGTTTAAATTTTAGAAACAAACTCAAATTTTTAAATGCACTACCAGCCACCCGTGTGCACCCCTGTTTCAGACGGTCATGAAAACCAGTTCATTTTTAAAAGCTTAGGTTCTTGCGTGGTGACGCCTGGACCCTGAAGCAGTGCAGGCCTTCTTGACAGAGGATTTTCCAGCCTCACCACCGTGAAGAGTGGCCTGCAGGCCTGGTTGGGACTT